AGATTTTTTTCAAGTAAAATAACAAACCATCTGTGAAAAGTTGGCATTGCTTGCAGGCAGACTGCACGCCCTGAAGAGATTCAACTGACGCTCGGCTTCCGAAAAACGATATTGGTACTGCCCGATGGAATACTGCTGCTGCTGTTGCGGCTGCGGTTGCAGTTGCTGTGGTCGCGGCTGCAATTGCTGCTGCTGCTGCTGCGGCTGCAATTGCTGCTGCTGTTGCTGCTGTTCTTGCTGCAGCATCGGTTGATCGGGCATCGATGGTCCTGCCATCATCCCACTGTACATATTACCGTTGCCGCAGCCTTCCATACTTCCCGGAGCTGCTGTATTCAAAGGGACACTAGTATTTGTGCTGCTGCTAGTATTACTGCCTGTGCTGGCACACTGCACAGGATTCTGTTGTGTCGCCGACTGCCCAGCTAATGCAGATGAGCTCGCTGTAACTTGTTGTTGCTGCTGATCGCCTGAAAAATAAACAGTAATTTTAATTTTATAAAAATGCTGCGAGGAGAAACGCTGAACCAACAATTCTTCCCAAAGATGCATCGGACAACAGTATCGCCAGTAGGCCGGTCATCAGGCAAACAAGCAATGGACAAAATCATTGGCGGACCCGTGCGATCATGCGTTTTTGCAGTATTTTGTGCTGTTTTAAAAAATCGCTTGGAGTCCCAGTAGCTAGCGACATACTGGTCCTTGAAGTTCAAAAAGTTAACTGTGCAGCTAGATGGTAAATGGTCGGGGAACATGCACTTAAAATTTCAGTCTCCCAGCTCTACTGGTTCCCGACTTAGCGATTTTCCCATCTAAAACTTTCATGGGCCATGCGTGAAAACCCCACACACCGGGGGGAGGGGGTTGAATTCGTAACCCTTAAGTTATACGTGGGCCGCGGACATTTCTTCAAAATTTCTGCTTCCCAGATTCCCGAGTTAGCAATTCCCTCACCAAAACTTTCCTTTCACACGCTCATATACAGGGCCTAGATGCGCGTGAGCGTTGGTACCGCGACCCTGGGGTGGCACTTGGCCGAGGAACTCAGTGGCAAAATCCTGGCGCCGAAGCCTGCTTGGTTGCCGAGTTGAAGTACCCGGACAGAGGTGAGCACAAACACACATACATACACACACACATACACACGCACATAAACACACGAACATACATGCGTACATACAACACCGGGTCGCCGCAATATGCGTTTTTGCAATTTGTATATAAACAAAAACGCATAAAAACTGGAAAAGCTGCCAAATACTAGCTGAAAAATCAATCACACATTACAGCTGATCGAATACAAATTAGCCTGAACCTGCGTGCCTTCCACATGCAGATTTCCTGCTTATAAGAGGGATTGCGATAAGCCTAGTCACCTTACCTTCACCCATAACTTACAGCTCAAATCCCGGTCAGGGCAAACCATAAATTTAACATGCCCCACTGACTCTTGCATTACCCAATGCAAATACCGGCTAGCTTGAATGAGATTGTAAAATTTGGATTCTTCGCAGAATATCAAATAAACATCGTCGACTATTCCATTCCTCTTTTCTCTTGTCGCTGCACTTTGCCAGCAGCAATGCTACACTTTCCGATACTTCTTATGCTTTCAACTTACATGGCGTTGCAACATTTTGCAGTGGCGTTACAGCGGCACTGTTTGAATCGTATACCGAATTATTCGCTGAACATCGAGCCGAAGCGGGCTGATGCACTGACGACGCGCTACTGTTTGAGGTACAACAATTCATTGACATTGGCGATACTATCTGAAAACGGAAATTACAAAATCACGGCCGTAAACACGTAACATTTCGCGGAAATTCTTGTTTTTGTCCAAGAAAACTGGAAATTCTCAAAAAAAAAGTACTGGGGTGCCAAAAAATAATGATTCAGAGACCCTCCTAAAAGTAAATTTTAAAACTCAAGAAAATATCTTGGCAAAATTTAGACAGATCTTTTAACAATCTTTTCAAAACATTAAGAAGAAACCTCGAAAAACCTCCGAAAATCTTTCCAAAACATAAAGAACTTCAAAAAATTCTAGATATTCTAGCGAAACCGCAACTTTGCTCCAGTACAATAAGAAAGCAATGGCAAATGAAAAGGTGAAAAAGCGGCGAAACATACCGAATTGCAGGTAGACTGTACACTGTTTTGTGCACCGTTCGCCTCAGCAATTTCTGTGGTTGGTTGTTTTTCAGGACCAGTGTCCAGCAGTTCTTCCAAACAGTCCCCTCCGAGATCATCCAGTGGTTTGCCCTTCAAAAACAATGTTAAGAAATTGTCAACGAAATTTTGAAATATGCAAATCAACGACCTCTTTATTCACTGCCCTGACTCACTGGGAGTCTAGGTTTAATCCATTATGTCTTAATTTTTATGGTTAAAAGCCCCCTAAAACATATATCAATTGTAAGGAAAAATAAAAATACCGGTCCGAGCTCATCCATGAGATCCTTCACATGTGATTCTGTTAACTCGGGCATTGTCGACAAACTACTTATTTCTTCCGCAGCACTCGAAACCACTGGAGGAGGAGGAGGAGGATTCGGCTGGGCCTGCGATGTTGTTGGTAGCATTGAGGTGCCAAGTCTGGCTTGATCGTATTGCTGGCTCTGCGGCGTATCTTGGACAAGATTGTTCGCAGGCACCGCTCGTTCCTGTGCATTTGTCGCCTTCGGCATCTGCAAACACACATAAAACTGCGATATTTCCATAGAATTGGTGTAAAAAATATGACTGGTAAAACCAACAGACTATAATGATACA